GAATCAGAAGCAGCATGAGGGGAAAACTTAAGCCAGATCAGGGTCTCAATGTTATTAAAAACTTTATTTCCTTATGTAACTCTGCATTGGTTTGTGGAACAGTAGGCCCATTAAAACTTCTGTTTATCCTAAACAAATTTTACATGTGCCAGAAAACAGTTTCCAGCCTAAGTAAGCTACCCCAACAACATTTTACAGCTTACCATAAAACATAAAAGTAGCTGCTGGTGTTAGAATATGGTACGTTTTATGGTAAGCTGTAAAATGTTGTTGGGGTAGCTTACTTGTGCCAGAAAACAGTTTCCAGCCTATGTAAAATTTGTTTTTTTCCCCCCCATACCTAAAAGCCAATACAGGCTCAAGGTGGGTGTGGGTTATATCTGTCAAATGCCTTAAGCTGTGGCTCCACATAAGGAACTTGACAGATGTACCATATTTACTTGCACACCACACACACCTTCCCTGCCTCCTCCCCAAATGCAGCTGCCAAGCTGGCTGCTGTTTATCTGGCTTAGCAAGCAGAAGGGGCAAGAGTTCTGTGTTCACCTTTTTACAGCCATAGACATTAGCTGAGCACTACCTTGTCTCTCAAGCAGCAAGGGAACTGCATCTTAATAATCCCTGTGGTATGGGAACAACACTGTGTTACTTGTTTTTCTTTATATAAGCTCCTGTAAATAGTCTTGCTCGTGCCCTTGCAAGGGTCGAGACGTAACCTTGTATGACACAATAAGTACTCCTTGAACTTCTTGCCGTCTCTCCCAGACTGTCTCCTGGGAGGACACACTTCCTGGACAATGCCTCCAGGAGGACTTACTCCATGTCATAATGGTTAGCTACAATTCGAGAGAGAGAGAGAAAAAAAAAAACCCCCACCCGACCCCTCCACACCTTTTTCTACATTCTGCTTTCCAAAAAAAAGGAGAGGTTCATGCTCTATTTGGTAGCATGCATGTGAGAAAAAATGATATTTTGTAAAATACTTTCATCTTAGAACACAATGCCTAGTCCCTGGCGGCTAAAATGCATCTTAATATCCTTGTTTGTTAATATGAATGGCTTGTGGTGTGTGTCACTAGTTTGATGCTGGAATTTCTTGCAAATCCCACTTGTTTAATTTTGTTTTTACTAGTGAGGTGTAAGCTATTTATATTGAACTTCCAAACATCTCCATAAGTGGATAAATACCCTAATGAAACTAGAGCAGGAACAGCTGAATCCTGCCCCATGCATACAACCACAATGACACAATAAGAGCTCCTATTTTTTTCAAGCCTTGGAGAATATCACCTTTTTTTTCTAACTAGGAATAAGAACCTTAAACCTTAAAAGTGCTTCCAGTTCTATGGAAGAATTGGGCAAAATAAAATCTAGGTGAGATTTTGTTCAAAGTCTTTAAGGGTACTTCAGAAGGTACTTTTCATTTTAACACGGACTTTACCCTTACACATAGTCAACAGGAAGAATCTCTTTCTAATTAATGTGCTAAACCAGATATATGAAACTATTAATTAACATTGCTTTTGGACACAAGTTTCACAAGACAATGCAACCAAGAAGGTACATGCCTCAAGTTACCATATTTTGACACACACTTCTAAATTTCCTTTTTGCCTTCTGCTTTAGATGACAAATCTGTCCCGTGCTCTCCCTTGACATATCTATCTCTTTGGAATGTGTAGACTTGAAAGAGGGGATAGGAGCATGCTTGTTAATACAGATGGATTTCTTCCAAGCCTCTGTACCCCTGGTTAAAGGAACAATTATATTACATTTTCTTTCTGGAATGAAGTGTCCATAACTTTGTAAGAATCGGTTATTTCCCAATAAGTACCTAAAAATTTCAACTTTGGTCCTCATTACGGAAGATACAGAATAAACCTATGTATTAGAATTGCATTAAGGTTTTTTGCAGTTCAAAATTCAGTAATGTGCTCCTTATACTCAAGTAGTCTCAAGAATATGACTGAACAGGGTGAAAAGTTGAAACTAAAGTACTCTTAATACTGGTTAAAAATAGGTTTTCTGACACTAAGTTGTGACAACAGAAGTAACAATCACAGTCACCAACACTGAACAAGGGTCTTTATTATAATAAAAAAAAGTATTCCCCCTAAAGTTCTTCCATTCCTGTCTGATTCAGGGTAAAGCTTCTCCCTGGCGTTCTGCTATGAAGTTAGAGATAGTACACATCACAAAACAGTCAAGTTCCCTTTAGGAATTCTGAGCTCAAAATTAAAATAAAAAAAAGTTAACTACCCATCAAGGGGCAGCCACTGTCTTTCACTTTATACTTAAGTAAGCTACAACACAGTATCTGTCTTGTAGAAAAGCATGTTGATATATAGAGCTGGATGCAAGAATCTTGCTTCAGGAAGAGGAGGTGTTGGGATGGATGTACCCTGGCTCTCCATACATTATATTTCTATCTTGTTAACCAAGGCAGTCACCTCTTCTACTTCTGTTATCAAAGCAAGATGCAAAGCCACCAGCAGATTATTAGAATACTGAGACTGTAAAAGCAATCCGGGATATTAACTCGTTTCCAACTTTCCATTTTCCACTTCCTGGTTCAGAAATAAAAAGGTTAAAAGTGCACTGTTGGAGGCAAACAGTTGTGTGTTAAGAATTTTTCAGTAGAGTACCTGTCTTCACCACCACCCACTTAAACTATAATTAAGTCACCCACAGTAGCACTTGTGATTAGTTGCAAAAATCTCCAAGTCAGTACACACTAGAACATAACAATCCAGTTTTAGACAACAAAAAGAAGCTTTTACATTGGAATATATCATGTTGTGTCAGGAGGCTGGCACTGTCCAGCAGCATCTACAAAGACGTACACCACCACCCAAAAAATCATGCTCAAATACAAGCAAGGTTCACATGTAAATAAAATTTGAAAGCCAGCAAGGAAGTATTAGAAGTATAAAAGAAATATACATTATAAAAATAAATGTATTCGGCAGTCTACTTGACAAGGCTACCAAGAGTACTGGAGATAATTAGAAAAACAAAAAGTAGGGTAAATGGGATTTTAAAAGATGCACCCATAGGCCGTGTTCAGATAAGCACAGTCATGCAGGGGTTGCAGACGTGTCTGCGGTGCCACATATTCAGCTGCTCTCCATGCTGCAAGGTAACAGTGTAGTGGACATTTTGACTCCTGGATATCTAGGGGCCAGAAAAAGTGGAACGGCACACACGTGGACAGTGCGTGGTGCTCAAAACTGGAGCCTGGCCAGCTGGAGCCACACTCTGGCTGCTGGCCACACTCCAAGGGGCAGGACAGCTGCTGCTACAGACCTAGGAACCCCCAGGAGCCCAGGTAAGGCTGCTGGAACCAGCCCAGTGCCCTACCCCACCCAGGATAACCTCCCGGGTAACCTCCCCTACCCCACCCAGGATAACCTGCCACACACCAGACAGCACGTGCCACAGGTATTCCCCGAGGACAATTAGCAGCAGCACAAGGTGTCCCGCTGATAGTTGTCCCTGGGGTACCAAAGATTCACACTTGTGTGGACGCAGCCATATAGGCCAGTTTTAGTCCCCTCAAAAAAGTTCTTCCCTTTGTGCTTTAATTAACCTGTGGGGACCTACGCAATCTTGCGCTACACATTAGAGATACTGCACTTTACAAGACAAAACTTTTAGACCATAGGTTCACTTAGCTGATAGGACTAGGGTTACGAAAACCAGTTTGCAACAACTCTGTGGCTGTATAATTACAAAAGGAACTTGCTAGTGGCCCAGCATGTGACATGCCTTCCTAAAGAAACTCTTGTACATACAGTACTGCACCCATTATGCAGCCCTCTTGCTAAATAGTTTTTCCTGTTGCCTCAAATACAAAGATGCATTTTTAAGAAACAAAGTGGCCAAACATCTAATTTGAATCAAGGTAACCCCCACCCCCCCCAGTCACAAAATATTTTTTTTTCTGACACTGCAGACAAAAAAACCTTCACTTGCTGGAAAAAATACTCCATACAACTAATATCAGTCACTAGCCCCCTTTTAAAGGGGTCAACTAACTGAAATCTACAGTTTCACTTCTCCATCTGCTGGGGATAAAGAAGAAAACCCTTTTATTAACTAGTCAGAATGGAATTACTATTATTTTGGGAGTCTGCAAACAAATGGGATTGTGATACTTAAGTCAGATAATTAGAACCTCTCGTGAGTAGAGACCAATTCAAATCATAGTTCTGTGGAAATCATGAAAGTGGGCAATTTATTATTAAAAATAAAAAGTGCTGGCTCCCCACTGGGAGCCAGCAGTCCTCCCAGCTGTGCAGCCTGGCACAAAAAGGGGCTACCAGGCATGAGTGAGCTGTCTTTCCTGCCCCTCACCACTGACTGGTTGAGGGCTGCCTGTCATGTGACCCCGCCCCACCCTAATCAGCAGAGCCATATGATAGATAGCCCTTAGCCAACCAGCAACAAAGGGCGGGCTGTATGACAGACAGCCCTCTCCACCAAATCAGTGGCAGAAGGCAGGGCCCCTTGGCCAGAACTGGGGAAGGGGAGGAAGCAACCCACCACAATAAGCCCAAGAAGTGGCAGCCAGCCCTGCAGTCTGCCTGCAAAATTGGCCAGCCGCTGCCTTGAGTTGGATAGACCCCTATTCATGAGGCTACATTTTACAGTAGCTCAAATGCTTCAAGTTAGATTTTTTTTTCCTTCTTCTTCCAATCTTTTCAGCCTAAGTACCAGCTACAGTGCTGCTGTAAGCCACACAGAAAGTAACTCTACTTTTTGGTCCTAGAGAAGTAGACAACTTGGAGAGTGTGTGCGCTACACATGTATATATACATCCACACCAACCCACCCACAACTGAAAGTAACTCTACTTTTTGGTACTAGAGAAGTAGACAACTTGGAGGGAGAGGGAAAGGGAGAGGGAGAGGGAGAATGTGTGTGTGACACATGTATATATACATCCACACCAGCCCACCCACAACTGTTTTAGCATCACAAATATAAAGACATCATACCTTCCTCCTACTGCGTCGTCTTGTGGTTGGGCCCCGGCAGTGTTCCTCTGTGAACGTCGCAGTGACCCCCCTGGATTGTTATTAGGCCGGTTGGACATTGGCACCTCTCTCCTGAAGGGACATACCCTTTCTAGACACTACCATTCACTGGGGGGGGGAAAAAAAAAAGTTCAGATGAAACCAAAAATAGCACCTTCATTAAATAAGCAAGAAGAGACCCTTTATGGAAAAAAAAAAAAAAAAAAAGTCTTCAATTTCAGGTTAACTACTACTACTCAAAAGAAAACAGTAACATCATAAGTGAGGACACTGAGCAAAAACTTCTTAATTAGCATAGCTGCTACTTGTATCCTATAACGAACAATCATTTTTCAGCGATGTTTTCACATAAAACAAGTGCGACTTAGAACTCAGTGTCTGTAGATATCCTATGGATAAACAAACCGACTTTAAAACAGCAACTTGAGACAGCAACTATCATGAACCAATGGTGTTGGTGAACATGGTAAACTTTACAGAGGCAGGCAGCACACTTGTACTTCAGCCAATTCTTAAGAAGTAGTGCATAAGATTAACGTGGGAAGACTGTTTACAATATAGTAGTTAAAATTAGATTTTTTGGTAGTCATATTTATGCAACTTCTACATACATAAAAAGTGAATTTATATACGGAATTGGTCTTGTGTCCTGAATAATCTGTGAACCAGAAATCCCAATTCAGAGTTTTTTCAGTTTGGGGAAGTATAAAAACCTGAGAAAAATTAATAAAGCTTATAATAAAGTCAAGCAGCATGGGCACATAATGATTTAAACCATTCAGTCTTGGAAAGGTTAAAAATGTCTATAAGAATGCTGTAAGCTTTCAAAGCACCTTTTTGCCAGCAACCTTTAAGGGGCAGGGGGGGAAAGACGACAACATCCTACAATGTCCTTGAAGAGAAGAGAAAGGCATTTCAAAGCTTCATGCTTGCTTACTTCCTAAGCAAAGGAAGGAAAAACTACTCTACACTGTGCCAAACTAGGCTATTTTGCATTGGCAATTTTACAGCAACTGAACTGTCGCCAGCAAACCTTACTTATGGACTCCAGCCTCAATATTAAAACCTATGTGTGCGCGCGCGCGCGCGCACACACACACACACACACACACTGTAGGTGCTAATTTCAACAAGGGGGAAAAAAAAAATTATATTCTACATGAAACTAGAAAGAGTGGAAATAAACTGGAAAAGGTCCAAGGAGCCAGAGTTTTGAACTGCTGCTTGCCTATATTATCAGCTGTAAATGGCCTCCTAACGCCTGTTCATTTGTTTTGGTAAGCTTCTTAGCTTTGAAGTAAGAGCTCAGAAGTATAATTCTGAACTTAAAAAAAGAGCCACTGAAGTTACTCTGAAGAGCAGATGTTTTCATATGTCGCGACAGCCCTCACCCTTTGCCCAAAAGATTCTCTGTACTGAGATAGGCAATTATTTGGGCTGGAGAACCACCTACAGTTTTGGGAAGCTGTTGAGGGCAAGGGGAAGGGAAGTGCTGACACCGCAAGGCAGGGGAATTGATCCTTTGGCCCATCCTGTCTACACTACTGCTCCTGGATGTGGGAAGCAGACTGCAGCTCTGCCCCAGGCCCTGGCCTCATGCTGTCACCGCCTCACAACCCCAGCTCCAGCCCCACCTGTTCCACTCTGCTCCACTCCCAGATGCCACTCCCTGCCCACCCGCAGCCTCGTTCCATCTACTCAGCCAAGTGCTTCCTGCCTGCGGGAGTCCTGAGTCGGTCTCCATGAAGGCCTCCACCTGCTGGGTCCACTGGTGGGTGCAGGGTGGACAGGTGTGGAGAGCAAGTCTGGTAGCAGTGATGACGCTGGCAACAGCAGCTGGAACAAGACGGCCAACAGGGCTGCCAAGAAGCCAACTCTGGCTGCCACACCGCCCCAGCCCCTTGGGCATCTGGCAGTGGCAAGACCAGCCATTACATCCCATGACCCCAGCTACTCTCCTATGCCTGGGCTGGGTGGGGCTGAGGGACCCACTGCAGGCTGGACTTAAAAAAAAAGTCACTCTGCAGGCCAGATCGGCCCATGGGCTTCATTTTATCTCCCCATTCTATACGCTGGACAGTTCTCCTCACAACTCAATGTTTTTGTGATCTTTATACTTCCATTATGATTATAGTGAAACAGAGATACAAGAAAAACTGATTACTAAGCCATCTTGGCTGTTAGTATTGCTTCAGCCTACTGAAATACAATTCTAATCCTTCACTCCTACCATTCTAAATAAGTTAGGCCTTCAACTCTTGTCTTATTTCCCTTGCAAAATTTAAGACACTATCAACACCTGAGAAGATATAGGTATGGTTTGTTCCAGCTTCAGTTATGTAAGGGTATTTGTGGAATTACTTTCTGGAAAGGAGTAGCATCAACCCAGGACTGAGTTGGCACCCATTTCCCAGAAATTAACACTGGGCCAAGACTCCTGGAATAAGCGTTTGTCCTGAAAGTTGCTTTCATTCCAACAATCATCCAGGACTGGTGAGAAACAGCTGTATCTCAAATGTATACTCTAAATCAGTCACTAGTTTCTTCTTCTCAGGCCAGTCAATTAGAATTTTGTGACTGCTAGCTTTGAAGGGCAACACTGGAGTCAGAAGACAACAATGATGCAGGTATAAACTATTGTATGTACAGGAGCTTTCAGTACTGCTTGGAGAACCAAGCTCACTTGGCCCTCCATGTTAGAGCCTCACACTGAAAAATAAAATAATTTTGAGTTTTGGACATGCAAAAAAATTTTCTTCACGTGACAAACTGTATACAAGGGGAAGAACATTGTTCTGCAAGTGCCATGAATTGTTATTCAACACCATGCAGGGGAGCCCCGTTCTATATAGTACACCTGAATGGCAGCTAATTTCTTCGTCAAACATCTGCCCAAATCCAAAAATAAAAAAAATAAATAAATAAATAAAGCCAAGAAAATTCTTTAATAAAATTTTTTTAAAAAACCCCACCACACACTGCTGCTCATACTTCAGCCTAGTTTGAGACAGGCACTTGCAATGCAATTAATATGTGCACCGATTGTTTTCACTGCACAGTTCATTTTTTACAGCTCTAATAAAAAATAAGGTATTATCAACAACACTACCTCAAAATTGGCGACGCTTGGTGATCAGTTGCCAATTATCCAGCATAGTATACTGGTCTTAAATAGAACATTTGAATTTGCAATAAGGCTTCAGTATCCATTTTAAATAGTCATTTATTGCCAGTTTTTCCACAGACTCAAGAACTAATTTCAGCATCAAGATAGTCAAACGCTATTTTGACTTTAGCTAGGTACAGTCTAACAGCCCCTGGTTACATTAAAGACTACCCTTTGCTCATGTGCTTTTACTCCTAGATAGGATGTCTGGTCTGTTATGTATCCTCGTAGTCAAATACTATTGGATTGAAGTGCAAGAACCACCACATCAATTAAGCTAATTTACGAAGTACATATGTAAAATTGTTCATTTAGCTTAAGTATTCAGCAACCGTGCGTGCTGAAGAAGGGGATCTATTTACTTGAAACCAAAATAGGGAAAAGGATGTGGAAGACTTCTGCTGATGTCATAGTATCTTGTATTAACACACATCTCCAAGGGAGGGGAAGGAACCCCACAGCATAGAAAAAAAAGCACGTAGCACTAGTGCCATAGAGAAATTGATGCACATAAAAACAATTGGATCTGTGGTGTCCAGAATAATATGGTTACTTGCTTGCAAAAGGTAGCTGATCTCACAAGACATGTAGACAGACTTCTAGGGAGGAGTCTACAGTCATAGTCCATGTGGGTACTAAAAGCCTAGGGACGCATACAAAAGAAATCCTGGAGGCTCAAGTTTGGGCTAAGCAGGTGATTTGAAGTCAGGACCTCTATGTTAGCATTCCCTGAAATGCTTCCATTTCCATATGCCGAGCCAGCTAGACAGAGCTACAATCTGAAATTAAATGGACAAGATAGTGGAGGGCAGGGGTCAGCATGTTTGGGCAGAGTGCCTAAAACACCCACAGCCTCAATTTGTAAGACATTAGCATACAGGGGTGGTGGTGGGAGAGCTGCGAGGGAATGAACTAGAATGAAGATAGTGACAAAAATAAGGATTCCAGAGAGAAACAGTGGAAAGATGATCTCAGTGGGATCCTTTGACACCAGAATGCAAACTATACAAGAATGACAGAATAACATACCTCTGGAGGAGTGTCACTATGTTAAAAGACAGTATAAACAAGAACAGAAGAACCTTAAAATTAAAAAAAGAAAAAAAGTACCATAGAATATGTGGGTAGAAATTCTGTGCTTGAATAAAAACAAAAAAATCCAAAAAAACCCCCCACAGTACTAGGATTTACTATTTACCACCTGAACAGGAAGGCAAAGATGGCCATGCTTTGCTAAGGGAGATATTTGAGAAGCTGCACAGTGGAACATGCAATGGTGGCAGACTGGGTAAATACCTCATTAGAGTGAGATGCAGAGATACTGCTTTCTAGAACAACTTATCTTAGAAGTCACAAAAGAAAAACAGTTCTTAAAGACAAAAACAAACAAACAAACAAAAAAACAAACTCTGATTAATACTCAAGACCTGGTATAAGAGCTATCTATAAGTGAACTACTGTAATAGTGATCACAATATAAATCAAAGTTAACATCTTGGTGGGAGTATTGAAGCCAAAAAATCCACTGCACTGATATTTAAAACTTCAGAAAGTGAAAATTGGAATCTTAGAAAGACTTTCTTTTAAAGTCATGAAAAAATGAAAGAGTAGGGGTGCGCTGATAAATATTTTCTTGGTCAGTACTGATAGCCAATTATTAATTCAGCCACATTGACCAATACCAAATCTGATAACTGATTTACAGGAATGCAGCCGGGCAGTGTGAAAAGCAGCTCCTTGCAGATAAGTCTGTAAAACAGAAGGGGCATGGGTGGGGAGGGAAGGTGGGCTGCAGATGGAGGCCCCCCCACAGTGAGAGAGGCAGGAGGAAGGGGTCGGGGCAGGAGGTCCTACCCAGCCAGGGCAGCGAATGGGATCTTCAGGACAGGGAGTGGGGCACAGCTGCAGGTGGCTCATCCAGGGGACCAGCATCTCGGCACTT